ATGTGCAGGAAAGGAGTATCTCATTTCCTGTAAAATACCTGGAAGTCAGGCAAGGTTAAGCTACTACATAAAACGGCCTGTGCCCCAAAATGTATCGTGTTGTTACAATGTATTGTGGGGAAATATTGTGTGCTTACACAAACTGTAATTTTCCCTGTAATTTGTCATAAAATTTACGAAGTTATGTGAAATTACTTCCACAATACTTAAATTTAATTAAATTATGATTATTTATTTGTTTCCCCCTTAATCCAGTCTTCCTATCTTGAAGTACTGGTAGGCAAATCTAATTACATTATAATTTCAAATAAAATACATTGAAATTCCTTTTAAAAACAGGGGAATTGTGCCCATTTGTTGGACGTCTATATTATGAAGTTTCCCCGAAACCCCAAATTAACAAAAATCAGCACTGCACTGCTACCTTCTAGCCTCCCTTCAGTGCCTGTGTGGAGCTGCTCTTCATATGCTTACACAGTCTGGCTTTGTGAGTTATCTACTCCAGCTTTAAAACCCTGTGCATCTGCAGGCAACAGGATATCCTGCTGAGAAATGCGGCAGGATAACAGCTGCTTCTGATTTCTCTGGGCTTGCTCGATCATGTCCGATGGCAGTGAAGCTTTTAGAGGACTGTCACGGAGCAGAGTGGGGCCATTATACACTCTCTCCACCACTCTGATGGAAAAAGGGTTGAGCCCATCAGAGCGGTGCTGAGAGCCTCTATGCTGACAGACCGTGGCCAGACAAAGGGGAATCTATCTGCGTCCGAGCTCTCCACGGGAAGTCTTTGACACCCCCAGCCAGCTGTGCTGCAGTGGAGAGCTTCTTCCATCGTGTTTATCGACTGAGAGCTGTCCTCTAATTGAAAAGAGCTGGAATGGAGACTGTCACTTTGACTCCCTCTTCATGAATAACTCATCGATAGCTTTATGAATAACTAATCAATGATCCCGAATCAAAGATCAGACGCGCGTCCCTGCAGAACTTAGTCGGAGGAAAACACTCCCGACTTTGCCTCATTAGACTGAAGTGTAAATATCATCTTACCATCTGTCCATACAAGAGGCTGCAATTATCTACACTTAAAAATAGAGACCTACATAAAATGGGTTCCATCCAGCCACAGCACCCATTAACCTGAACCATGCATTTTCAGTAATACATGAGATTGCATGTTGGACGCCTGTGGCTGCGTTTCTTGGAGATGCAAGGTGAAAACACCAGCAGCCATTGCTATTGGTTAAAATCTACATTCCTTTAGATAAATAAACTTCACTCACTCGATTGTGTCAGGAGTTCCCAAATAATAGTCAGAGTTTAGGAGTTAAATACTACAGACGGGCTTGGCGTGACCTTTGCTGAACACTGCTTTGATATCATACATTCTGGTGAGTGAGTCTGCAATTGGCGTGAGCCGAGCAGAAAAAGGTCAAAGCAGCTTTCAGCTATACCTTATATTTAGGAAAGTGGATTGTTTCTTGGAAGTGAAAGGCTGCTTCATCCAGCAGGACTACTCCACTACATATACACACACAAAAAGGTTGAACCCTATAGTTTTTAGAGAGAACATTTCCCTGTTTTCAATATACGTTAACAACTATTTTAAAGGTTACTGGAATAAAAGGAGAATACATGAGAGTCTGTTATCTATAGACTAAACTTGAGCTTCCTTTTATGCTTATTGTGTTTGGTTAGTGAAGAGTCTGGGAAGGTCACATTTAAATAAAAGATGTTCTTGCTAAATACTTCGCAGCATGTTGGCCCACATGTAGTTTGCTGGGATCTACCCTGGGTGGAGGGTATTTTGAGCACTGAAGGATGGATAGAGTCTGAGATTGTTCATGTCTTAAGCTGCAGCTTTGTGTTGTAATCACTTGTTTTTCAGTTCAGGTGCGTCCGCTCACTGACACATCCTTTCTTGAGCTGCAGGTCTCTTATGACACTGAAATAGCAATGTCTTTAATTTTTATCTTATTCAATGTGATATGTGGAGTTACTTTATTATCTTGCTCTCAGGCAGTTCTGATGGCATCTGTTGGCCTTACACTGTTACACAACCACCAGGAGCCGGAGCTGTTGATACAAGGCAGGATGGACATTTACACGCACATTTAATCGTATTGAATAGTATTCTTTCAAAGCAATTAATGATGAGAAATTAAAGAAATGTACATTTGTAGATTGATTCCAAACGGTTTTCGGAATGCATAACATACAGACTGGTTGGGTGGCCTACGCTTTGGGATGAGAACGTGTTGGAAATGATCAGCTGAAAACCAGCTGTTTCCCCTACGGTGGCCCTGAGGGGCAAAACAGACCGCACCTTAAGAAAACATGAGCAGCAGAAAAACACAACGGAAATAGAAAATACAAACAAATAAGAAAACAAAGAAAACTGAAATAGAAAACAAAAACTGGATTGTTTCTGGGGGATATAATGACTTGAAGAACTAGATCCGGATGTGACAAGCTAATGCTAAACAGCTGATAGCAAGCATCTATTATATGTGATTAAAATACACATTGAATTGATTTCCCTCACAACAGTCTGTGAAGGTTCTCAGTCATCCAGGTCATCATAGTCTAAGGAGCTTGGAAAGAAAAGCGTCTGGACTTCTTTAAGTTGCTTGAAAAGCAACTTAAAGAAGTAAACATAGGTGTGCCGTGGGAAATTATTTAATGAACTACATAATTTTGTGATTTGTAATTACGTCCATGTTTAACCTCCTAAGACCCGAGCTCTTCCATGGCATGCATTTTTAATTTCTCTTTGATATTTGGGTATATTGGAGCCCGATGGATGTAAAAACAAAGAATTACCAGATTTTTTTAAATCTTTTTTTTTTTTTAAGAAAAATAAGAGCCACATATGAGGATATTCGTTTAAAATTTTGATAGAACAGTAGCAGTATAACGTCCTCGTAAGTGGATATCAGGCCCTTGTAGAGCAAAATTGAGTATTTTGGTCTAAATAACCCAAAATGTGATGTCCACATATGTGGACGCCAGGTCCTAGGAGGTTAAGTAACTTGACTGAAAATTCTATGGTCCCAGTTTCCTGCACATGGAGGAAAAACCAGCTACACGTAGCCTGATTTCAGGTAAAACTTTAATCAAACTGTGTTTAATGGCTGAAGCCAGGAAAACCTCGACCAATCTATACGGTCTTTTCAGTTATAAAAATAATACATAAAAACTGCATGCTAGCTTTAAATTGTTTTGTTTTTTTTAATAAATCTCGTGACAGCCTCAGTAAGGTTGATGGTAATGTCATTACATTTGCAGGAAAAAAAGAAAGAAAGAAATGATAGTAGTGTCACGGACCCGGTTCCAGGGACTCGGGGTCCGTGAGCAGTCTGGACTACTATTGTAGTTATTATTATTATTGTTGTTATTATTATGGTTGTGTCTGCTGTCCTGTGTTCCGTGTTTGTGTTCTGTCAGGTGTTTATGGGTGTGTGCGTGTGTGTGAGGGTGCGGTCGTGGCAGGCACTTCTAGGCCTGCTGGGTGTGGCCCTGCCAGCTGACCGGTCACACCCAGGAATCCGCACACACCTGGTGCCGATCAAGCCTCGTCAGAGGAGCTTCAAAACAGTGTGGCTGAGAGCTCCTCGACGCTGGATCGTTGAGTGACTTCCCGTCAGTCTTAGTTTAATGTGCAAGGTTAGTGCAAGTCTGCCGTTAGGTTTTGTACTCACGGCTGCCTTTTGTATGCGTGTTTCTCAGGAGGAATTGTGGCGACCAGGAGGCAGCACACGTACAGTACACAGGGAACGGAGACAGAGCACGGGATAAGGGAGAAGACACGGAACGGGAGTCGGGATCGCACGGGGGATTTACTGTTGTTTGGATTGTCACCACTGTAAATAAACGCACTGCCTTCTTCGTCAAGTCCTGCATTTTGGGTCCTCATTCCTCACATCCCCACACAGACCGTGACAAGTAGATAAAGATGTACAGGAGTATCAGTATTTTTAGGAATCATCTGAGGTATGTCCAGTATCTGCAGTAAAGTTTAGCAATCCATCAATAAGTGTCAAAAGATTTCACTCAAAACACAAAATGCCAGCCTCATGGTGCTGCTAAAAAAAGGCCAGGGCTAAATTTTAGGGTTATAATCCGGATGCCTCGTCTGGGAATGTGGCAAAGCATCCATCCACTTCAACTCTGTGTGTGTGTGTGTGTGTGTGTGCAGTCTGAGTTCTGAGGGTGTCTAGCAGTGGGTTATTATGCACTAGGCTACAGTTAGTGTAGCGCTTAACACAATCACTTGACAAGCTAAAGGCTGTCAACACAAATCCCGTTTGGGATTGTGTCAGGAAGAGCATCCAGTGTAAAACTCTGCCAAATCAAACATGCTGTGCTCCCTGCTGTGGTGACCCCTTGAGATGAGAGGGCAGCTGAAAGTAGGATAATTATTATTATGTACTAGCAGCCATATGGAAACTTTGAAAACCTTTTATTCACTCACTGGATAAGATTTTGCATCGTACTCATATGTGGATAATTCCAGTTTCGTGACCTTTCAGAAACTGTCTGGACATCCATTAAAACTCAGATGTAATTTTAAAACTGTTTGGCTGTCAAAGTCCTGAAAAGTAGACATAAGAGATGCAAGGCTTTTGTTAGATGATGGCAATAAAGTAAACAGCAACAGAGTGAAAAGAGCAGGAGCTTGATTATGGCCAACAATGGCTTATTATTGCATGCCTAAAGGGTACAGACTGACTGGAACAGCCACAGAATTACAAACAGTTTATGATAAATTCAGACTTCCAGTGAAGTACCTGACAAAATGTTATGCTTTTCTGCTCTTTGGACCATAAGAAAAAAAGAATATAAACAGTCCTCACTGATAGATCTACGTCACCCTTATATAAATTGTCTAAACACTAAATCAGGGTTTCCGGTAGGTTGACTGCTTTTTTGCCACCAGATTCAAGTTGGGATGTTTGTCTGTATGTGAAAGAGACACACAACAAGATGAAGTAGACTCACACTGAGGTGAAAAGCAGCATTTATTTTATATGCTTATGTTAAAAGAGAAACACAATGGAACTGCTGGTCGACAACAGATATTATTTATGTTCAGGGTAACTAAAGATATTTTTCATATTCGGCATACACACATATGCACGTTTCTGCAACATGACTGACGAAGGATCTGCTGTGATATTGCACTAACGGAAAGAATTTGGATCGGTGCCACCTTTCTCCCCGAAAGGCAACTAAGATGCTCAAGCAGCACTGACACAATAACTGGTTCACATGGCAACATTTTGACCTTTAACTGTCACCTGAGGCGCTCCAAGCAAAAGCAACACATATCCAACTATCACTAGATAAACCAATGAGGGAGAAACAAACCACTTTCTCCGTTTCATTGTACTACCATAATGTTATAAAACTGTTCTAAATAAAAATAAGTCGGTAACAACTGCTTCAGTAACAACATGGTGAAGATACTGTGCCACCATGTGGCTTAGTGGCAAATATACCCTGGCCTACTCAGACTGTGTGGGAAGGAGGTCTGTACGAGACCCACAGATAGATCAATAAACACATGCTGTGAGCATACGGCAAAAAAACGAGTTTGATACAAAGGGGAGTCAGAATAGCTTGACACAACTTCCTACTGACAGCTGATGGGAAGCATTTGGATGTGAAAACCATGCTCTCCATAAAGTAACTGACAACAGAAAACCTGGATGTGTTGTTCAGTGGATGAAAACTGCTGTCACTGCTTGATTAAATAATGCGCAGAACAGGACATGAAAATGATCACCATAATAGGATCTCACTAATGATAGTCCGACAAGTCTCACATTACCAGCACGAATGGCTAAATTAACCAGGAGAAATCATCGTGGCCTTTTTTCTGGGTTGAAGAGGAAACGATAAAAAGACATTAAAGCAGCATAAAAACAGCACTGAAGGGGAATACATCACATTCAGCTTTATTCAATCTTGGCCTCAACTCCAACCCAACATTTTGCTTCCAGTTTTACAAACCACAGATCTACTGAAAAGGACGGACTGTTGATCCAACAATTAAATACATTCCTACTTTTATTTACAAGATGATGATTATGGTCATTATTCTTCTTTTATTGCTGCTCCTGGATCACATCACTCGTCACTACAGCTGTATTTTCTATTACAGTGACCCTCGTTCCACATGAAAAGTAAGTGCTTTGCAATTTGCATTCAGACATGTCAGAGTCCCTTGTAAATAACAACACACAGACAAAGATTGCTTTTAGAGAAGAGTGAAGGTTGTGTTTGGGGTTCAGGAGCTCCAGTTGCTGGCGCTTTCTCAAAAGCTTGACAAAGTTTTGGTTTTTAAAACAACGCGATAACTGTGCCACTTGCCCTCAGCTACTCTTTGGACTGGCAGATCCAAAAGAAGCAAAAGTCTGTTTACTGAGGTAATATTGTCCACTTGTAGGACTGCTCTAACAGTGCCACGAGAGATCTTTGTTGTCTTAGACTCACGTTTCGTTTAGTCGTCCTCCTCAGTGAGCAGGCTAAGGTTACCTAATTCACAAGAAAAGAGGGCAGGTAAGAGGAGTGGAGAAAGGACTGAAAAACAGAAGTTAAGAGTGTGATGTTGGCGAGAAATAGTGAGGCCATGAGTGTGCTTTTAAAGAGGACCTATTATTTGTTATAATGCCACAGAACTGGATGAAAACATCAAACATGGCCATAATTTCAAGTAATGAGGTCAGTGTGTGTAGAAGCAATCCCCACGACCAAATGCTCAGGCATTTTCTTCACAAGAATAAAAAGGTTTCTTTTAGGCTTGAGTTTAAAAATGTGCAATAACTGTTGTAAATGAAAGAAAAAATATCCCAGCTACTCCTACTTTTTGGAAATGAACACATTAAAATGGCTTTAAAATAGTTTTGCAACACTGTTGCACAACTCTCAGTTAAACCTGAAATTCTACAATTCTAATCACATCACCAGTGCTTTCAAACCCACTGTGGTGGTGCGCAGCGGCCAAATTACAAAATTATATTCCATCACCAAATGCCTGTGAACCTTACAGTTACACCATGATTTGTTGCCATTTACAGAAGAGCTGATTTTACATCTAAAAACATGCAGTAGACATTTATATCTTAAATAATTTCAAATGAAATATTCTTCAAAATGCTCCTTGGGAGCAACAACTGTACATGAGTAATACATAACTACAGGATCAAATGAGGTATATGCATTCTCGTCTTACTTTCCAAGGTAAGGATGCAACCAACCACCTAAAACAAACAAAAACAAAACCCCCAAAACAACAACCACAACAAAAAAAGTTAATTCGCCATTGGAAAATAAAATGTGAAATATGAGTACATCAACCAAAACAAAGTGACAGTTACTTCCATTATCATCTGACAGGGATCAATAAAGACGACACAGGTTGCAAAATGGAAGTGGAATTGATTTCCAATAGTAAAACGTAAATCTTCTGTTTTAAAGAGTAATGCAGTAGAGCGTGCACAACTGTCTGACCCTGCCTCTTTCTCTGGACACTGCTACTCCTGAGGCTAAAATTCCTAGTGTTTGCTGGACACTTTGCTATCATATAAGAACTTTTGCAGAGCATGCGCTGTGTGTGACTCAACAGCATCAAAGTGAAGCTGAAATGTTCCTTCCAGAGTGTTGGGATAATATGACTGTACAGTGATTTAGATGGTTGCTCTTTTTAACTCCCCCAAAGATCAAAGATTGGTGTAAAAGCTGATTTGGAACTCGAAGGATTACCTTCATCTGAAAACACACAGTGAAGTTCCCAAACATCATCATCATATCATCATCATTTGGTGATTTTAAAATGGTCTTTGCTTTGTATTCTTCTGAAACAAGCTGTCACAGTGCCCTTGCGTGCTTTTCAAAGGAGACTGACCTCATGACTCTAAATATGTTGTAACTGTACACATGACGTGTGTCCTTTAAGATAAGCATGCTCAGAATAACTCCCTGTCTGGGAAACTAGGTTTAAGAAAAGCATGTCTGTCTGCTGCCTTTTTCAACTACACCTCTAACACTCTCAGAGTCTCAGCTTGGCAAGTTGGAACACACTGCGGACAGAGCTTGGAAGAATTCGCTTTTCCTCAGTGGTCCAGAGATGGTGTTTAATCCAGAGCAACCTCTGATACGATGGGTAGCATGAAGGTTGTGGCTTTCTTTGATTCCTTCATCTTGTCCAGGCCGAAGAGGAGGTCCAGCTGAGTGACTGGTCGCAACCGCTCCTCATCCACAGGTCTGGAGCCAAGGACACAAGAGATCAGAGGTCAGGCACAGAGGCCTAATAGCAGGTTTATACTTCTATACTGCACACAGCGTACGACATGTACTAGAGTCGCAGGAGAAATTTTATGGATTTCCACATGAATATGACCTAAAGCATCAGATTTCCACACTAAATCCTAAAAGTAGAAAATTGATCTCTCACATTGGCACCATCAGGGAAAACCCAGCAACAATGGTGTGCATGGCAGGGCTGCAAAGAGAACATTGCTGCCCGTCAGCAGTTTGCTAAAGATCACACAGACATGCCAGAAGGCTTTTGGAACAATGTTTTGTTGACAGATGAGCCCAAAATAGCATCTTTTGGGGCTCAAATAAAAAACCCATCTCTTCTGTCAGAAGAGAGGAAAACACTGCATTCCAACATAATAACCTAATTCCATCTGTGCACTGCATAATCATAATCATCCTGTCATGGTTTGTGTCTGTTTTGCAGCATCTGGGCCATGATGGAGCAACACATTTTGAATTTCAATGTCAGATTGTAATGGAAAATGTCAGGACATCTGTCTGAGGTCTGAAGAAAAAGTGGGCCGCGCAGTACGTCACCAACTCTTAGCACGAATGTACTTCAACCACAGACTGGTGAAAGAAGTATAAAGTTTTGGGACGGCCCGAATCCAACTGCATTCAACTTAAAAGACGTGGAAGGCGTCTGAGCAGCTGTGAGAAAACCTCAACCCCGAGATGAAGCTATTTTGGGCGTTTGAATCGGTTCAATTTCCTCCAAGTGGAAGTGCAGGACATGACCGACCGTTACCAGAAATGGTTTGCTGCAGCTATTTTGAAGAATGGCGTCACACCAAATACTGAAAGCACGCATACTTTCACCCCTCACAGATCTGCAAAAGTGGATCATTTTCCTTAATAAATACAAAAATAATTTGAAATGTGTTATGTTTTTCTAATTTTGTGACTTTTGTTCAAATCTCATGTTTTAGGTCATGGAAAATTCCAAAGGTTTCACAAACGAAATGTAGACACTTACATATGCTCTCTTTGCTATAAAATAAAAAATAACTATAAAATGTTTTTGTTTGGTTTTTTTACAATACACACAGCTCAGTTTGAGCTGAAGTGGGCTCCTTCCTGTCAGTGTAAAGACGTTTACCTGCACCTTTATTCCCAGAGATATCTTTATAAAGGGAAAAAAGGAAAAACCTAAACCCCAGTTTAACAGTATAGCTCTGTTTTTCTACATAATACAGAAACACTGCTGCTGAAGGTTAATGAAAGAGCACAACTCTTTGGGCTTAAACTGTATGAAATACATGTGTAAAATCACACTAAAATTCCTGATAGCTTTAATTATGAAGCAGAAAGTTTTTGTTAATTTACAGAAAATTCCCTTTTATTATTATTTATTTATATATTTATACTGTGGATCCAGTGTAAGCCCCCCACTCCCATCTAAATTCAATTAAAATTCAATTTAAAGTCCAAAATGTATGCTCTCCTTTACATTTCCCAAAGCCTTCCAGTGGGCTGGATTCTGCACCCCAAGGCCTGATGTTTCACTCTCTTGTTTCACAAAATCTGTCACTGATTGTAAAAGATTTATCTTACAGGATGCAAACTGTCTGAATGAGATAAGATATAAACTTCTGTTGCAAACACACTGCATACTCCACGTACTAAGAATTAATGTGCACACTGAAACTGGAAGACCCCTACCATCCTGTGTGAAATATGTGATTTCACTATCGCAATGATTACCGAGAACTACAGTGATTTAGTTCAGAGCCTTCACTTCACCATCACCTTCAGATTCTTTTTCCTTGGTTTTATAATTGGAAAGAGCCTATCCATGAATGCTTTTGAGTTCTCAACACTTAAAAGTTAAAAATACTCTTTCAGCAACAATGGCTTGCACCAACAGTGGTTTCAGTAGTCGCTTAGCAACAGCTGAACAAAGGCTTACCCAGATCAGACATTTTCACAAATCTTTTCTATAAGTCTTTTATATATGCTCAGATAATAAAAACCAGTCATCCATTTCTAACAGTGCCTAGTTTAATAACAGTACTGTGCGATGCTGACAGTTGTGTATGTAAGGAATCAGGATGTAATCATTTTAATTAAGATCATCCTTCCTTTTATGTCGTATTATAATCACTACTATTGAGCGGTCTTGAAGTGTGAATATCTGTGAAGAAAACTGGATGTAATGGTATAGTTGTGGGAATATGAAGTTGTGAGGCTGTGTACCAGTACAAATATCACTTAATGTAATATGTGCTTTAAAAACAAACAAACAGCCTGGTCTAGTCACAAACTGTCACTGAAGCTCAGTGAACACAAGTGCTATGAAATCTTGTGGGTGTCTGAATATGAGTCATACCTTTCCTCCTCCTGGCAGTCCTGCAGCTGCTGAGCGATCTGCCTCATCTGCTCCTTGCGGACATAGTCCCGTACTCGGTACATGGCAGCGTCGCGGCAGAGCTCCCGGAGGTCACTCCCAGAGTAGCCTTCTGTCTTCTCAGCAATCTCCTTCAGATTTATTGCGTTGCTCAGCTGAGCAGAAAAGACGTCAAGCAATGTGAGATGATTATACAGAATTGAGCTGTCACTAATCTTTGAACTGTGCTTGTTGCTGCCAATCAAATGCCAACTAATCATGGGTGATCTGATTCATTTTAACGTGAAGTGACAGTGGAAATACAGGTGTGAAATGAGTCTATGATAATGGAACAAGATAACAGCAGAGCTGAACAATTTCTTCTGCTGTTGATAAAGATAAAAAGAAACCATCTTACGTTTTCTCCTGCCAAGATGAGTCTCAGGATGTCTTCTCTCTGCCTTGTGTTCTGCAAAGGAGAGGACAGTCGTTCATATTAGGAAAGTAAATTGCTGTCTAGCCTATCATCATACATCTCCTGCATAAATTCAGGAATGCTTGCATGTGGCTCCTCTGCTGTTCTCCAACTTTGAAAAGTGTTCATCGGATCCATTTCAAACCTGGCAGAGGTACAGCTGGAAAGCCGAGTAAGTGTAGTGTTGAGTTTGAGGTCTCTAAGATGAGGGGTGAACTCATTTTCAGGGATTTTTTTTGGTTATCAGAAGCCAGTGAATCCCTAGTGGATATTACATGCGCTGGTTTTTTAGGTACTACCCCTCAGGCTCCTAGTAGATTCTCCTATGGTGTTCACAAGATTATCAGAAAGCTTGGCCTCTGGTCTTGATCTTGAGGTCACTGAAATTCAAACTTGTCTGAGATTTGTAGTAGATGGACCTAAAGTTTGAATTTCAAAATCCTACGTTGCCTTATTCAGAAATTATTGCACTCACAAACTTGGGTGTCCACCCTGCCTGCTTACCTGTTGGGGTGACAATAATCCCCTATCAGCCTTTTATGGTTGAGGGGTAAAAACTGTCAGTGACCAGAAATATATGGACACAACTGTAGACAGAATAAAGCCTCCTTGTGTATTTGCACACATCTTACCGGCAAGCCGATATGAAAAGTTGTGGGCATCCTGCGGAGAATGGCTGGATCCAGGTCCTGCGGCCTGTTCGTGGCTCCCATCACCATAACCTAAATTTTGAGAATCACAGTTTTAATACATTATTTCACAGGAACTACCTGCTGCATTGCAATGTTTTCTGGCAATTGCATTACAGTATAAGAAAGCATTCTGGTTGTGTTACCTGGGTGGTTGATGAGGTGTCCAGGCCATCCCATAGGCTCATGAACTGGGCTTTCATCATGGCTGTGGCCTCGTGGTCCATGCTGGAGCGATTCCTTAGAAATGATTCTAACATGCAGCACATAGAAAACATTTACACAAGACTAATCTTGCTAACTTGGCCAGCTCTGCAGCAGTGACTATGACACAGTATGTGGGGCCAATGAGTGCCTAGGACTCGGCTAACGTATTTATATTGAACTCATATAATTTAAAGACAAGATTAACAAAAAGGCAAGATACATTTTAGATTCTGTTTAAATTACAGCTATTGTGGGCACTGCAATATCGATCACAAGGTCAAATCCACTTAGAAACCATGGAAAGAATGTAATGCAAATTAAACAATATCTGTCATATCTGAATGAATGAAAATGAAGCTAGCTCACATCCACTAGTGCAATAAACTAACATTCTACACTTTTGACATGCGTCCTGCAAATGAAGCTTACCAATCTCATCGATGAAGATAATACAAGGCTGAATTTTGACAGCTAACGAGAAGACTGCCGCAGTCAGCTTTTGTGACTCGCCGTACCACATGTCAGTCAGCGTGGAGGCCTGAAGGTTGATAAACCTGCATCCCGACGCTCTGGCAGTTGCCTTGGCAATCATAGTCTTACCGCAGCCCGGAGGACCGAATAATAAAACACCTGAGAGGACGAAAAGTAAAGAATTAAAATACAGTGATTCTCATCACATCTTGTAATATCTGAACAAAAACAAAACAGATTTTTACTCTCACTTCTGCAGTTTATAGACTTTGTAATTTTAACCTGACTCGTTTTAACCTTCACTGGCAACTGCACTGACATTTGCAACACGTGTATCAAATCTGGCTCGATCTCGTCCCAGAAGCATTTTTTTCCTTTTGGTTTGTTTTAAATGATGCGATACAAACAAAGCCTGAAGTCTAGAGACTGAACTTGATTCCCAAAGCAGCTCATTTTGGAGGTTGACTCATCCTGAAGCTATGTGTAAATACTATCCACAGAAAGCAAAACATTCCTCTTAGTGATCTTTCACTGTCACGCTGCCAAGTGGATAAATCCTGCTTTTTTTGGCAGATTAAAATCGCAGTGCTATTCACTGGGTAGATATTTTGACAGTGATTAGGCAGAGGATGGCAAAAATACAAACTTAGAAAATTATAACCACAGCTTCAGAAGGTAATTTCATGTTAGCTAGTTTTTGATGCAAATCCACATTAATGTTCATGATGGGGAAAAAGGACATTTAAAATCTAACAGTAACTTTGTTCTCAGTCTTACAGAGCTACAGATTCTGATTTTTCACGATGAATTCAAGGGTAATTTGAAGGTTTTTAAACTTGAGTTCATGATCCTGAACATGCACAAATCTTCACTGGGCAACTGACTAATCTCAACTTAACACAGCTCACTAGAAACAAAGTAAAATACACAAAGAACAAGGTTATAGAAAGCTAGACTGCATTTACAGTAAGATTTCTGAATGACTAGAAAAACCAAATCCCATTCACACAATAGCTCAGTCACACCAGAGTAGAAATGGGATGGCAACCTCCTTGCAACTAAGAAAGCTTGGTGTTTGCTTAATGACTACAGTGATTTTTTTAGCATTTGGGGATCAATTGCAAGTACTTACAGTGACTGCTCTTGATTGCAAGGCTTTGCTCAGGTCGCTTGGTGGCCGATTTCCAAATAATCGCAGTCTGACTGCAATCACTCTCCGAAAGATTGGCAGAAATGTGCAAATAACTGTGTTTTCATTTAGGCTATAAAACTAGATAGACTGCCAATAATTTGAAACCAGTCTTCACTGATGAACTCAACTTGTCTGAGATGTGTCTCTCTGCATTAGGGGGTTTTGACTCAACTGCTTGCCAAATTGTCATTTTCTTCAACTCACACAGCAAAACTGAAAACTCAGAGTAAAAATCCATTATACTTTGGAAAATATCAATCCTCCACAGAGAGTTAAATTTGGTTTTACCTGAAAACAAAAATATAGCTCTATGGGCTCTTTTATTAGTGACTGTCAGTCCTCTGGCTACAGCAAAACTGAATGTCAGGAGGTGGAGCTCGACTCTGTTAGTTAGCATTAACCAATGAATTACATAATGAACTAGCTTTCCACTCCCAAAAACTAATTTAAAAATGTATCTAATTTTAACTGTTTCAACCTTGTTATATTTTATCTCTGTATGTCAAATTTGAACCTTCTATGTTCCTTAAAGGGAACATGAAGATTAAATGTCTCTGCAGCTGGATCACAGACACTACTACAGTAGCACTGTATGACACAGTTAAAAATAAGCCTTATTTATCTTATACAGAATCTTGGTGCAGCCCCTCAGTTCATCCTTTATCAGCACTTATAGCAGTATTTAGAGAAGTCTGAAGGAATGCTTGCATGTACACTGTCCTTATCGTCAACATGAGAGGAAATAAAAAAAAGCATAAGAGTTCCTGTTTAAAGAGTCAGCGTAAAATCTGATCAGTTCCAGATTAGATTAGATTTCATGCTGTGGTACCTTTGGGGGGCTGAAATAGTTTGGAATTCGCCATAAGGTGTCTCTTCTGAAAGGGCAGGATGACTGTATCTTGAAGCTCATTGATAACTTCATCCAGACCTGCAATATCTCTCCAGGATACCTGCAGGAAGGTGAAGTTATTCATAAATCTCTGAGCAACATAAAAAAGACTGATGATTACAACCGTTACCTTCATAGTTTGTGGATCAACTAGATGAGATGCAATGTTCATCTCATATTCTGTAAGTCTGACCCCCTCAACACCAATCCTCTTCATCAGCTGCTCTGCCTGAGGGGTCAAGAAACACTTCTTAGCTGAAGACACAAAACGATAACAGACATTGTGCACAATCTTTCTTTTTATCTCAAAGCATCTTTACATCATGCTTTGAATGTACAAGAACAGATAGTGCTTGCTGCATTGTGAGCTAGGAAAAACGCCTGACCTTGGCAGCATTTCTGGAACACTGTTCAATAACAGCATCAACCTTGAGCTTACGGTATTTTACAGATTGCGTGTTTATAATGTGTGCTGATGCATGACATACCCTCTTCTTGGCTTGGTTTTTCTGTTTGGAGGTAGGATCCATTGCATCTAAGACCCATTTGATACTGTAGTACGTGGCGGCACCAAAGACGGTCAACCTGAACAACATGCCAACCACTTCATTCCTAGACAACGGCCGCATCAGGGCCTCCCTGGGCAGATCTTTCAGCAGCATCTCTGATGGCTGATGTCAATCCATTGGCTGGATAACGAGGTGGAAATATACAAACGAAGTTATTACAACCACATAAGGTCAATTACAGCTCTCGCCTTTTATAAGGCTAAACAAGCTCTCACTTGTATTAGGTTTATGATGCCTAAGCTAGGACTGCGGGTCATGTTTATGCAAACGCAATGTCGCTATTTCAGTAAATAAATTACATTCGTGGTTCACATTTTTATTGGAATAAATGAACTCAATTCGCAGGTTAGCTTCTCCGGGGAAGCTAAAGCTAACAGGCTAGAGCTTCAACTTGAAAGCAGCAAACTGTGTTTGTAACATCGTGAAATTTTGACCTCACGTGAAATAAAACGTCTCACCCTTGCTACGTGTGCTGCTACGCTTAAACGTAACCTCTACTATGATATAAAAGACAAAATAGTGACACTTACAAAACGGGAACGTAACGAAAATGTATTCACTGTGCAACAACCTTTGACGTCCGGGTAGGAACAAACACTTTAGTTCCAGAAAGCACGATGAGGAGTTCACAGAGTTAGCCACTGGATGGCAGAACGTCCACACAGTTATTTCACGCATCAGTAGCATGGACAGCATTTACAGTGCTGCAGAAATAGTAGTTCTTATTACTCCCCAAGGGAAAGGTAAGAGCCTTGAAATAACATTTATAGTTTTGGCAAGTCAGTTGTGGACATGTTGATTGAACTGAGTAAAAGCTTACATTTATAAAAGGAATAGCTTTACATATATTTTGTACAAAAATGTCAGCAGCATCATGGAATACTGTAGCTAACATAATTTATAATAACCAATCACATAATCTCTATTTTTTTCACGATTTTAAAATGATTTTCTTTGTTTTTTTATGTTTTAAAGTCAAAGGCTCTACAGTATTTTTTGCTCTTGGGTGAAATGCTTTTCTGTGGGTGTCTGGGATCTGTTAGAAAACACTGTGATTGGACACCCAAACATGTCCTGGGGTATGCTTCATGCAAATGTACCCTAGTAAAAGATAGGACAAATCTCAAGCCGTAATCTGTGTTTGGTCTCCACTCATCTTCAGCACGGTCTGATAATGGATAATTCAGTCTTCTAAACAGCAGTCTCAAAGATAAGGCTGTAACAAATGGCCTTCTCCTACAAGCAATTTATCACACATGTGCCTGAGGGATTGTTAATTGTCACGGAGTCCAAGTTAAATTTGATGATGCTTTTGGAGCTTTTGTGCAAACGAATCCCTGTTTTTCATCACCGTATTACTACTAAGAAAAATATAAAGTATAAAAGTGTAAAAAACTGTTTTAATTATGTAAGAACTGCTTAATTTACAAAATTTTACATCAAATGATTTAATGAACACCCAGATTTCTGCAAGACACACAGCTCCTGCTTTAACCTGAGATCCAAATAAACAACAGCCTGGCACAGCTTACCACACCATTTGGGCATGATTAGTTACATTTTGTATAATGCTCCAGAAAATGAGAATTTGTCCTTTAAAATTTTACTTTTTTTAATTCCCCATTTGAGTTAAGTAAAATCTTACAAAGCTTCTACCCTGTGTAGACCAATTAGTTGCCCAAATTGGATGCAGAATTAAATTCTGCACGGTTACAGCTTTAACCATCCAGTGAAGTTAAGTCCACCTTTGTTGTGGAAAATGGCGCACAGGCTGCTATTCTGCACACCTTTGGCTGTGAAAATGTTTCATGAAAAGCTTCAATCCCCCTGTACTGCAGCAGCAAGTCCCAGGAGATAGCAGCCTGACTCGGCCATTTTGATGGGTCTGGGCATAAAAGCGCAGGCTTGTGTATCTGCAAAGTGCAGCCGGGGCTCTACATTCCCACAACGCCTTGCACCTTGCCCAAACAACCGCTCTCAAGCGGGTGGGAGTACAACAAAAGAAGAAAAAAAAGAAAGAAAGAAAAAACATATTCAGCTCCCTGTCAAACCTCCACGATGCGGAGGCTGAAGTAAAACCTAAAGCTAGCTGCTTGGAGCTTTCACATGCCAAAATTGCATTCTTTGGAGAAAACAGTCTGGCAAGTGATTGTTTTGCTGTTAGAGATATAAATCCTTGTCGAGTAATAATAGTTCTGTCATTATGCTCCACCGCACCACTCTTTTTCCCTCAGTTTATATTAGTTGATTTTTTTTATGTGTGTGACAAAAGGATAATGGGATTAGTCTAGTTTTTTTTTAAGTGCACAAGGTAAAGTGTTAAACACTTAAGTAAATGCTGGTCACACACAGTATTTAATTACCCTTTTGGTCTCAGAAGAAGAGAAATTACCTGGAGCTGCACAGGATAAGGAATCATTGGGGAGTGAGTTATTTGCTTGCCAGTGCAAGGTTTTACTTTTAAATAACATCTATCTATCTATCTATCTATCTATCTATCTATCTATCTATCTATCTATCTATCTATCTATCTATCTATCTATCTATCTATCTATCTATCTATCTATCTATCTATCTGTGATTTTTGTTATGATTTTAGTTTTTTAAAAAAAAGACATTCTGGCATTTGTGGTCATAAAGAAACAAGATCAGCAGCCTGCTTCCTATGCGTAACCTTCATTTATTCTCTTTAATTGCAGTGCTTCTCTGGCTTCTGCTTGCCCTTTTTTGGCACCTACCCGTTGATAACTGTTCAGGGACGTAGTATAAATGATTCATGTCTGTCATATGACAAATAAGCCGATCATAGTCATTTGGCATGGATGAAAAGCAGAGGGATGAACAGACAAGAGACACATGAAAGAATGGATGTCTGGGTGAGACTCGGTTCTATACTGCTCAACAAAAGGATTTCACATGAGGCTGAGGCTTCCTCAGGCATCCCGCACTCTTTGTTCATTTTGCCAAGTTAACTCACACAAGTCGACAACCTGCCGACATTGCCAGAGAAGGATGATAACAGCTGTAGTTCCAGACAGACAACCCTCTACTGTTTCCTCAAATCTGCAGGCCTCAGTGTGGTTACTCCAGCACTGGCGACACATAGAAAATACCCCCCAAAAGCCAAGAGATAATTTGTTTTTACCTTCTCTTCCATCACCTGAGGCAGGTGAGAAGACGTTCCCAATGGCACATCAATCCATGCATTTAGATTAGGTATTTAGATTCTGTCAGACATTCTGATGTGAAAATAACGTTGTTTAATGGATCAATGCAGCCAGGAATTCAGGGTAAATATTCCATACATAATCTGCCAGTCAAAGGTTTGGACACACCTTCTCATTTAATGGATTTTCTTTATTTTTAATACTTTCTACATTGTAGAGACATATTGAAGACATTATGAAGCAAGATATATGGAATTATGGAGTTAGCAATGAAAAAATTGATAAATAACTCTAAATATGTTTTATATTTTAGATTCCTCAAAGCAGCCACCCTTTGCTTTGTTGACAGTGCTGCAAACCGTTGGTCTTCTCTCAATGAGCTTCATGATCAAGTCACTTGAAATGGTTTTCACTTCACAGTTGTGCCTTGTCCAGGTTCATTTGTGGAATTTCTTGCCTTCTTAATGGGACTGGGACCCTCAGTTGTGTTGTGCAGGTCAGGTTGGTACACAGCTGACAGCCCTATTTGACAACTGTCAGAATTCCTATTATGGCAAGAACCAATCAGCTAAGTAAAGAGAAACAAGAGTCCATCATTATTTTAATAACTGAAGGTCAGCAAGTCCAGAAAACTGCTAAAACTTTGAATGTGTTCCCAACTGCAGTTGCCAAAACCATCAAGCGCTACAATGAAAGTGGCTCACATGAGAACCGCCCCGGGAAAGGAAGACCAAGAGTCACCTCTGCTGCTGAAGATAAATTCATCCGAGTCACCAGCCTCAGAAATCGCAAGTTAACAGCGCCGCAGACTAGAGGCCAGATAAATGCCACACAGAGTTCCAGTAACAGACACATCTCTACTGTTCAGAGGAGACTGCGTGAATCAGGCCTTTATGGTCAAATAGCTGCTAAGAAACCACCACTAAGGAAAAGCAACAAGCAGAAGAGATTTGTTTGGGCCAAGAAACACAAGGAATGGACATTAGACTAGTGGAAATCCAATTTTGAGATCTTTGGTTCCACCCAACGTGGAAAAGGTGAACAGATGGTCTCTACATGTATGGTTGCCACCGTGAAGCATGGAGGAGGAGGTGTGATGGTCTGGGGGTGCTTTGCTGTTGACACTGTTGGGGATTTGAACCAGCATGGCTGCCACAGCATCCAGCAGTGACATGCTATCCCATTCAGTTCAGTATCTATCTATCTATCTATCTATCTATCTATCTATCTATCTATCTATCTATCTATCTATCTATCTATCTATCTATCTATCTATCTATCTATCTATCTATCTATCTATCTATCTATCTATCTATCTATCTATCTATCTATCTATCTATCTACCAAAATAACAGTAGTGACAAGATTAAAAAGACAAATAATAATAGTGTAACCGAATAAAACATTTAGGTATATTAACTGACATGTGAAAGCTTGACACAGTGTCTTATTAAAGGGAAGTTTTCCAGAGATGGCTAGCAGAACGACTGTAAGTTACTGTCATGGAGTGAGAGTTTGAAAATGGTAACATAAGCTGATTTCTGTCACCCGGAGACACAGATCGCAGATACAGCGCTATCACATGAGATGGATTTTCAACACTTTTTTTCTTTCCGTAAACGCAGACTTATAATGTGTTATCACCTGTCATCGTTGACAGGCTGTTGGGCCTGATTATCTCTTTCTAAAATGACATGCAGCGGCAGTGTTTGTGGAGACCTCCGGGAGAATGTCACGCCTGCACGGGAATTACAAAGGGCAACATGCAACACTTTATACAAAACACACTGAACTGGTTTGGGTATTATTTTATGTCAACTTGAATTAACGCCTGTGTCAAATGTTTGCACATATATGTGCTAAACAGGGCTCTGTACACTGTGCACACTGTAGTTTGGTGGGATACGTCTTTATTGTTGAGGTGCTGAATACTTTTCTGTGTACTGCTGTCATACTGACTTGACACCTAATTTAACGATGACATAAAACCTGACAGTCATAAACTTAACTTCACTTTTATTTATTATATATTCCTCTTCTTCCTTTGCCTCTGACTTTTGTGATATTTTCACCTGAACATCCTGAGAAGGAATAAAGGCTACAGTTCAGGAAGAGAAGTTCAGACTGATTTATCATAGTGAACTGGAATCCAGTTTAAAGGGTGGGGGTGGGGGTTGATTAGCAAATGTTCCCAGAAAACCTCACCACTTCAACAGGATGACATCCTCACAGGAGAAGCTGGACCTGCTGGGTCCATAATCTCCACGTGACATAAAGCGGTGTGAACGCAGGAGATGAAATTGAAATGAGCACCTCAAATTCCTCAGGAAAACTCGAATAAGAAACACCCCAGGGAAGTTAGATAGTGGGGGCTGGTGTCTGCGTACGTGTGCAAACGGTGGCAGCCCTTATGTGGGCTTCGAAAAAGCACAGAAGTGGCAAAGCTACTCTGACAAGGAGGACGTTTAAGT